CACCAAATTTTTTGCTCGTACGTCTGGTAAGGAATAACTTTCTTGTGAAACTTCAAATGGGTCCACTACCTTGAACATGTCGTGTGTAACATTGCCCTAAAAAAATTTCCAAATATATCTATAAGACATAAAACTTTTAGAATGGATTGATTATATAATGACTATATACATGTAGTAGAATATGTAATCACTTACGCAATGTATACTAATATGCAATGTATACTAATATGCATGAGCCTGATATCTTAACCATCCCACAAAAATGCATGATATCTTATGGAAAGAATGATGTTTCCTTGCATTCACCAAATACTTCAGCACTGATGGCGACCCGAATATAATCATCTTTCAAAGTACGTTGGGCAAAGCGATATAGAAATTTTATTGAAGGCATCACTTATGCCTCGAACATTGTAGCAATGACAACAATGTCTGAATTGACGCTGTAGCTAACTTGCAAGTTTTGCTCGTCAAACAAAATATTATGAATCATAAAAATATTATTTAAACAAGATTATTTAACATGAAATAAGATTTAATGCTACATGACCATTAAGTTTGTGACATTCTTCGACATCATTGTCCTTTGAAGTCATTTTTCGACTAGCTTTCGACAACTATGGGGTTGGTTGACTCATGGGTGTTTGTTGACAGGGTTGAATAATGGGAATATGTTGACTTTGTTGGCCTACTGAAGTTCCTTCCACATTTCTTGAATTACTCTTTATGATGTTAATAGTTTGAAGGCATCATGTATGCCTCGCACCCGTTCACGATGCTCCAACGTGCCCAATGCTTGAGTTAGAATATCACAACCTCCAGTTTTAGTTTCTAACTCATCCTATTATGCAATGTATAGTTCACTACTAATGATATGTGGAAAATTAAATTATATAGGTCACTATTTAAAAGACAAACTTACAATTTTTCTTGTAACAGTTCGAGTCACATCGTCATGATAATCATTTGTTATTCTGTTCAGACTTACATGTTTCCATAAACTTGCACAATTTATAGACTTATTAGATTGTTTCTATATGACAAAATAATAGAGTACATTTGCATAAACTTTTACCTGAGTATGTAGTAAATAATATGAACAAAAGCTTGCTCGTTGGAGTGCTAACCTTGTTTTGTAGGTTCTTCGGAGGATTAGGAAGATCATCCCGTGCGATCCGACCTACGTGGATTCCGAACTTGGTCTTTTTAGGATCAAACACTCACCAAATAATTCAAGAGACTAACTAAAGTGTTCGAGTGCTCACTACTATTTTGCAGGTTCCATTCCATCCATTTAAGAGAGGTTACGAGCGACCAAATTTGTGTCAGAAAAAACCCAAACATATGAGACAATCCAACCAAGTTACTATAGAAATTAAAAAGAACATTTTTTTTTAATTTTTATAAATAATCTTGAGTTAATAACCCAGTCTTGGCCAATAATGTTACTTATAGTCAAACCCTAGATACAAAAATTAGTTATAAGATAGACTCTCTCCATCTCCTTCCATACTATGATAAGTCACATATGAAGAATAAGTTTTTCCTTCTCCCAAGTGGTAGTCACATCTTGGTTCGGTGAAGGATGAGAATAGTTGAAAAGATTTCGTGAAGTTCACGAGATCTAAAAGGTAAGACGCTCAATCTCTTTTCGTTTTCTAAAACAAAATTTAATTAGAAGTTGTTATAGGAAATCCTAATTATTCAAAGTTTTATGAGGAGCTAGAACTATCTAGTTTCCAACACCTATGACTATTTAGAGGATATAGGGATGTATTAACTATAGAGCTATGACAAATAATTTAGACTTTTACCTATATGGTAAAAATATTTATTTAATTAATTCAAATGTTCCTAAGATAAAATTATAAAATAATGACCAATATTTAGTAAGTTATTGCCTACCATACTCTACTATACAATACATTAGTATGGTAGGGTATGTTAACTCATAATATTGGACTAAGCATTTCCTTTATGTCCCGTAGCATTGACAAAGAAGAATAGACGGTTAAAAGATAACAAATCTTTTTATTTATATAAATATATATGAGCAAACTTAAGAAGTTACCATTCCTCTTGATCTGAGGTACAAAGAGAGATTCTATTTTATGACTTTCACTTATCGATCCCAACTGGAAAAAGTGATTGACGAGGGCGCTATTGATGAGTGACAAAAAAGATTTAAGAGTCTTAGGCCAGTAAGCCAAAACCCTTGTAGATTAAAAGTAATGATTTAATGATTGATCATTAACTTGTAACAATTTAGTTTAATACTTTTAAATTTGCACCAATCAGTTTGACTTTCACCTTTGTGGGTAGAAGTTGGTAATTTCTAACAAAATACATCTTTCTCTTCGTAGATGAAGCCAACTGTTTATTGAAGAAATTCAAGAGAAAGGGGAGAAAAATATATCAATGAATATTAATTTCTAATTAAATACAGCTTATATCATATTAATTAACGATTCACGTAATTCATATTTTATATTTAGATCTCCTTTATATTGTTGTAAAAAAACTGTACAACACAAAATAAATTTATCATCTGTAATATATAAAAAGTTTATTATAAATTTAAAGTATATATTAATTTCTTCATTACTTTTCTTTTTAATGATTATAATAAATTTATTTTCTTGTGATGATAACATAGCTTTAATCGAGTTTTAGACATTGTTTTAATTAAAAGAGAGAAAACAGAGTAGAAATATTTCCATTTTGAAGTCTAATTGATAGTACTCAGATATTTTTTTAAGTTTGAACATTACTTAATTTATCACATAGTTATTTATTTATTATTAATATTTTTATCACATAGTGTTTTGTTCCTCCCATAATGAGAGACTTATCATAAGCTCTCTTCAAAAAACGGAAAAAAAAGGAAAAAAAAATACAAGATTTCTAACTAACTTTCACCAAAGATAGAGAAATAATAATAAAACCTTTAAAATATAAAGATTAAACAAACTAAAAATGAAATTTAACCTATAAAAAGAGATGATACCTTCCCGAATAGATGAGAAAACAAAATGGATAAGACACGATCTGAAACTAATACATCTCACATTTGCCTTCTAGTACTAAGTTACGTAAGTATTGAGCATTGGCAGCTCCCGTACTCTGAATCATCTTTGAAAAAGAACTTTCTTCATTTGATAAAAGTTCTTCCGGAGTGTTGTACTCCAAAACCTAAAAGGAGAATGAATGTGAGATCAACAAACTTGAAATTGAAACGAGAAATGCAAATTAAAAGAAGCAATTTTCTGTAATTTTTATTTTAAAAGGAGGAAGAACTTTGCCCCCTATACTCAGGAGCACTTGTTCCTGCCTTAAGGCCCATATCCGAGAGACACCAAGAGTTTTTTGTTTGTTAAACTCACCCGAAAATTCGAACTTGAGACCTCTCAACTAGCATGATAAAAAGACTCCATTTCTAACACGAACACACGACCACAATAACTTAAAATGTTTTAACAGAGAAAATACATACCCGACCAGCTTCAAGTAGAAGGATCCGATCACAGTCTATGATGGTATTTAATCTGTGTGCAACAATAAGCACTGTGCAGCATTTAAACTCTTGTCTTATAGTTTTCTGAATTAAAGCATCAGTTTGAACATCAACGGCTGCTGTTGCTTCATCAAGAACAAGTATTTTTGTTCTTTGAAGTAGTGACCTTGCAAGACTTAATAGTTGCCTCTGCCCAACGCTAAAATTCCCCCCACTCTGAAACCTACAAAAACCAAATAAGTCTTTACTTGAGAAAATTAATCCAGAAGCAATAATAAAAGTCTCAATGTTTGCTGAACAGTGAGAAGAAATGAAAAATGATGGAGTGAAATCCAATAGATGAAGATATCAAACTTTTAATTAAAGTCATACAAAAATGGATGATACAAGATAGGAGACTCAAAAAATTGGATTATGCAAAATTTGTGATAAAAAATCTTTTTTAAAAGATACCAAGCCATTTCATTAAAAAAAAGTATGTAAGAAACATACCAAGAATACGAGAGGAAAGCTAGATCAACACTCTCCAGGAGAGAAATAGTATAGATATCATAATTTCTTATGCAAGTTCTCACTTAGGAAAGAGAATTACACCTATTTTGATATCTAACAACTTAAAAACTTAAAAAAAAATATTATCGGTAGATGTTTAAAGTGGAAACTAAAGACTCAAAACTGAACAATGAAATCTAACAACAAAGTAAGAAACTCAGAAAACAGAAAACTGGAATTTAGTTAAGAAAAACATCAAATCTCAACAAACATAATCTCAACAAACATATCTAATTTTCTCCTTCTAGTAGTAGTTTTTTTTTCTTTTTTTTGGTTGATTTTTATGGGGAAAGGACATAAACAATACAATTTCAAAAAGATGTGAAAGATGAAAACATACCTCCGCATCCAAGCCAAACGCATGCCTCCTTATGACATCCTTTAAATTTGCCCTCTCCAGAGCTTCCCAAAGATCATCATCATTGTGTTCATTAAATGGATCTAGAGATTAAACCTAATAGTTCCTAGACAAAACGAGAAAGAGCATTAATGTTCACAGTAATAACACAATGGGGAAAACAAAAGAAAAAACGGATTTACAAAGAGGAAAATGAGAGAACTAACTATTTAGCTGAATTAAGCAGATGGGTTCGGATAAATTTAATCATCTATAGGATATCTAATACTTCCCTCACTTGTGGGCTTGGAAATTTGCACAATGCCCAACAAGTGGAAATCAATATTAAATGGGGAGAAAATGACAATACAAAGGATCGAATACAGGACTACATGATTAAATCACCAATGAACCCAAAAACTTAAGTTGAGAAATTAGAGTAAATTTAATCATTTATGGGATATCTAACAGATTGCTTACCTGAAAAAAAACCGGTGACTGTGGTATAATCCCAAGAACTTTCCTCAAATCCAACAATCCAGACTTTGCAATATCACAACCATCTATATATATTTTTCCACTTTCTAGTTCAACAATTCAAAATAAGGCATTTAACATGCTCGTTTTTCCAGCGCCAGTTCGTCCAACAATTCCGACCTTGTCATCAGGGAAAACTGTGAAAGAGAGTCCATGTAAGATTGGTGGGAGCTCAGGTCTATAACGTAACACAACATTCTCAAATTTTATAAGTCCAGATGAAGGCCATCCAGGAGGGGGGCGGTTGCTCTCAATGATTGATGGAGCTTCTGAAGCCAAATCTATGTATGTCCCAACACGTTCTACAGAATTTAAACTATTCTCAAACATACTTCCAAACTTTAGCACACTTGTTAGCAAATAATTAATATTTAAAGCATAAGTAAGTAAAAGGCCCATGGTGGATGCAAATGCCTGCTGCTTTTCTGCCCTGCCATTCTGCATCACAGCAAAGGTTGCTGCAAACCATATCATCAGACCACCCAGGGTTTCTAAACGGATTCCAAGCCATCGGTTTGCGCTCGTGTTTACGAGGGTAAATCTAATATTATTGTCCATGGATTTCGCGTTAATCTCGGTCATTCTATCGTGAGCTTTGTATGCACGAGTACTTGAAAGACCATTCAGGGCTTCACCAAATTGTGCATAAACACAAGATCTACTTATGGAGTCTAGCCGCTGTACTTCTCGAGATGTTCTCTGTAGTAAAGGAAAAAAAGAAAAAAAATGGTTAACTCATGAACATATGCCCACTATTCAAAGCTCAAAATATAAACTCAATATGATCCCTGAAAAATAAAATAGTGTTCGCAAATGTATTGACAAAAAAGTTTTGTAAGTTCAATTATGGTTATGGATCTAATGCCATCTTAAATTTCAACTAAAATATTTGTATACTAGTCTTAAGAAATACATTACCCTCTTATATGGAAGAAAGACCAATATAAGAAAAATGACAATAAATTGTTACAACCAACACAAATATTTACGGTTAATATTAGCAAGTGAAGCAACACTCTTCAAGTCCTTGAGGAGTAGCCTATGTAAGATTGTGATACTTTTGGCTCATAGATCTTGTTTGGTGCTCGTTTGAATTTTTTGGGCTCTGATATCTTACAAATATTCATGGGATTCCATCTCAAAATCAATTGGTAATAAGAGGAGTAGTCCATGTTAATTATAAACTTTTGTAAGGCTCCTATTATTTAAACGTGGGATCCTTAACACATAATGATCTACATTTTTAAAATATATATTTTCTCATGCTTGGTTTAATTTATGAGTTGTGCATTTATTATACAATTTCTTATGTCAAAATATTCCAGAAATATCCAAACCAATTAATTAGTTTTCTAAATGATTTAACATAACAGCAAAAGGAAATTTAAAGTCAATAACGTTTATGCATTTATACGTATTTCACTCTAAAACTGTATATTGTCCAATATTTCTCTTTATTACCATCATCATCCTTTTAAAAGTAAATAAATAAAAGCTTGAGCATTCTGGCTTATGAGTCTAAATAGTATCGGGATCCTATTCAATTAGTTCAACTAGTGCCTAACACGTGTCTATTGTGTGCCTATATGCTGCATAGATTAGAGAATTTGGATGTGATATAGGATAATTAAACAATGATTTTACCTGGTAGTATAAATAGGCCACATAAAACAATAACAGAAGAGGAAAGATTGCCCACAACGATGAAGTGCTCAGAATCCCTATCAAGATGAAAGTGAAAAGGAGCTGTGAAATGTCCTCAAGAAACATGTTGACATAACTGGGAATTTTCCTATCAATGTCGCCGATATCCTTTGCAAATCGATTGATGACTCTCCCAAGAGGGTTGGTATTGAAGAACAACATTGGAGCTTCTAAAATAGAAGAAAGCATTTGGTTGTGCAACCTTCTAGCTGCATTTAGGCTCGACACGACCAGCCATGAAGAATTTATCAGTTTCAATGATACCTGACATCAAAAGTTGTTTTAAGGTATAAGAAAGTCAAGTGTTTCTTTTTAAGCTATAGCCTAGACTCTCCTGTGTTTGAAATAGTGGTTCGAATTAGGTTAAAATATTATTTTGGTTCTGCACTTTCAACTTTGATTCATTTTGGTTTCTGTACTTTCAAAATATTCATTTTTTTTTAACAAAAAACGAAATTTTCATTGATAATATGAAAAGGAAGAAAAAAGTTCAAGGATACAAGCTCCCGAAGGAAGCAAAAAAGGAAAAAGAAAAAACAAACCGCACATAGAAAACAAAAACCCATAAAATATGAGAACTGAAGCCCAAGAACAGAAGCTGAACACTGATACTTTTAAACTTTAGTTCATTTTAATCCTTGTAATTTAAAAATATTCATTTTGGTCCTTATACTTTTAAAAAATGACAATTTTTTGTCTCTATTTGCAAAATTTTATCAAAAATTCTGCACATAACGAAAACTTTTTAATATAAAGTCTTGCATTTAAAGAAATATATTGTTGTAGTGTCGAGTTGAAATTGTGATAGAAAAATGAGATTAAAAATAAAATTAAGGAGTCAAAATTAAAAGTAAGGGACCAGAACAAATACTCTAAAAGTACCAGGATTAAAATGAACTAAAGTTGAAAGTATAAGGACCAAAATGAACCAAAGCTAGGGACCAAAATAATATTTTAACCTTCAAATTATTAGTGGATTCTACTCATACCTGACCTAATAACAAGCCTGCATATACCACGTTGTAGTATAAAGTTTGACTCCATCCTACATTGCTTTGATCAGTCCAATGCTTTAACCATAAGCTTTCTAGAAAATGAATAATGTTTGACAAAACAAGGTATAGGAGTGTAGTAACCAGCCATAGGGCTCCTATTGCGTTCTTGTATCTAAAAGGAACCAAAGGACAAGAGTTGGATGATGACAAGGGGGAAAGGGTATGAACATTAACAACAATTGATTTAGTGAGACAAGGAAAGGTGTTGGAATATTACCTCACTAACACATTCCAACTGACTACACCCGTTTTTCTTTCTTCCTGCTTAATAAGAACATATTTTTGTTCTGTACGTTCTTTTAAAGGACTAGCATCCTTTGCAAAATGATTTGCTATCTCATCATTAGTAGGAAGTTTGAACGATATTTTAGTACCGCCGGTTTCACCATCTTCCTTTTCCTCACAAGTTTCTTCCGATTTACCTGCACTTTCCATTAGCCTTTGGAACAGCTTGCCATTTTCACAAAGTTCCTCGTATGTTCCTTCCTCCTTCACCACACCTTCATGAACGAGAATAATTCTGTCAACTTGCGAGAGAAAATGCAGTTGGTTGGTCACAAAAACTCTTGTTTTCCCTCTTAATTCTCCCCTAATGCATTTTTCAAAAACCTGTAATCAGTGGATGACTACATGAGAATAGTACAAGCAAATTCAAACAAGAAATCACGGTAAAATATTCTCTCTTGAACTTAATTTATAGTTAAAAGAATACAAAATGCAGTACTACCTCAGTAGCCACATGAGCATCAAGAGCACTCAAGGGATCATCAAATATGTACACATCCGAATTGGAGTACACTGCCCTGGCCAAGGAAACTCTTTGTTTTTGACCACCACTAATATTCACCCCTCTTTTTCCCCAATTTCAGTAAGATCGCCGCCCTAACAGCAAACAAAACAAAAAAATAGAAAAAGAAGCTCACTGTTTATTCAAAAAATACTTACCAGAGATAATATAAAGCTATACATAAATACTTACTGACAGTAACTCAAGGTCAAGTTGCAATGCGGTTATATCTATTGTCTTCTCGTATTTGGAAGATTCAAAGGGAGAACCAAATAAAATATTATCACGCACCTATAAATAAAATTTGAGGTCCATAAATACCACAAGTTTGTAACAAAATATGTACATAAACTTTCTAATTTATCATTATCGTATTGCGAGTTATTCCAACTTACTGTTGCATTAAAAATCCATGCAACTTGTGGAACATAAGCAACAGTTCCCCGAATAACAACACTAGCATCTGCAACTGGTGGAAGTTCTCCGAGCATGGCTGATATTAGTGATGTCTTTCCCTCTCCTGTACTTCCAACAATTGCAACTAAGCTACCAACTGGTATGTCCAGATTGATGTTTGACAACGTGGGCTCCTCAGCCTGGTTAAAAAATAATAAATGACTAACATTAAAAAAAAAAAAAATTTGAACCCTTGAAAAGCAATATAAAGAAAATGCATCTCGAAGGAAAAGGGATAGGTAAGCAGGTGGGACCCACTATGCACCTTGTCATGATTCTTGTCTTTTCTTTAGATCTTGGTTGTAATCTTGATCTTATCTTACCTTGTGGTAACTTCTTTTAAGTTTACTAGCTTTAAGGTCTATTTACAGCAGCTAACTTCTTGTTACCGTGGCTATTAGCTACTCTTGTTCAAGTATTGAGCCTTCATACTTTAAATACAATGTAGTCTTTCACACTGGTTTTAGGAAATAACTCAATGATCTTTCATAAATGGGGGCTGAAACCTATTTATAGAGGTTTCTTGCTGAAACTCTACCATAGTAACTGCTGTTACTGTGTAGTAAAAGTAAAACTAACTAAACAAATGTTATAACATATCGGCTATTTAAACGTTAAAGGCTAAGAAACAGCCATCTAACTACATCAATTTTCCCGACCCAAAAGAACAAACTCGTCTTCGAGTTATGATGCTAACGAAACTTCGTCCGGAGGTTGATACATTAAATACGGAGCTGATATTATAGGTTGCTGGTAGTTTGATTTTGTAGGTGTTAGAACCATAGCATGCTAAAACTGGAAATGGACCGAGCTTCTTCTTCTTTAACTTGTTATAGGTTCCCGCCGGAAATCTACTTTTTCTCAAATGAATCATGATAAGGTCTCCCACTTAAAATTCCTTAAATCTTCGTTTTTTGTCCACTACTGCTTTGTATTTAAAATTGGATTATTCAATGTACTATGGACCTCCTTATGAAGTTCGGCAATTCGGTTGGCCATCTCCTCGGCTTCTAAACTGAGATCAACAGAAGAGGGAAGATTAGTGAGGTCTATAGTGAGTCTAGGGATTTTAGTATACACAACCTCAAATGGTGACTTCCTTGTTGTTCTGTTCTTCATGTGATTGTAAGCGAACTCTGCCTAAGCTAAAGTTCAATCCATTGCTTTGGATGATCACTACTTCGACACCATATTAAGTTTTCCAAGGATCGGTTCATGACCTCTATCTGACCATCTGTTTAACGATGACTACTTATACTGAAATTGAGAGTTGTATCAAATTTATTCCATAATGTTCACCAAAAATGGTTTAGGAACTTCACATCTCTATAAGAAACTATGGACTTGGGGATACCATGGAGGCGGATGACTTCTCGAAAAAGAACTTGAAATTCTTTCTCAAAAGATTGCTCGCTGAGATCTTCAAAAAGAGGTTCTAAAGACTTTGGGGATAAATCCAAACTACTGATATTAACTGTCGAGATCATCATCTTCAAAATCCGAGATAGCCTTAGTTGCTACATGAAGCATTACATTCTCATTGAATTAGCAATATTTATAAATATTATTTGTAAATATTTAGTCCAAAGGGTTTTTATTTCTTTCCCTATTATAATAGTTTTTTTTTTCTATTTCATATTTCCTTATTGTAGTAGGTCTTCCTATTTCCTTAGTATAATTGGTTTTTCTCCTATATAAGAACACCTAGTTGCACATATTGAATATATATAAAAAATGTATTTTATTCTCTCAAGATTAACATGGTATCAGAGTAAGAAAATCTTAATTTTTTCTACCAATTTTAGCCTCTCCTAGAAACCTTGCCACCAAAGTCTTGAAACCCTAGTCATTGTCGCCACTACCGTTCTAGTTCCAAGGTGAAGCTGTTTGTGTTCACATGGTCGTTTTGTTCATCGTGGGTTGCTGACTTCATCCAAAATCAAGGGTGCCCTGACGCTCTCGCCATTCCCACCATTCTTCTTGTTTGTTTCGCACTGTATCGCAGAACCTAGATGCCTACGCTGTTCTTGCTCGTTCAATCGCACGATCGTGGGCATTGGTCATCCGTTCACACTTCTTTGCTTGCTTCACAGTCCATCGGTAGCGTGTTTGACGACTTGAGAATCTTGAAATATAGGCCTTAGAAAAAAAAATAATACATGGGATTTGGTTACCACACCTAAAGATAATAAAGTAGCAGGTTATTGATGGATATATACTGTGAAGTATAAAGAAGACGAAACACTTGAGAGGTACAAAGTACGGTTGGTTGCTAGGGGATATACTCAAACCTATGGAGTCGATTACCTTGAAAATTTTGCACATGTTTCCTAGATGAACACGATACAAATACTTCTTGTAAAAAATGTTTTTCTGCATGGTGATCTTAAAGAGGAAATTTATATAGACATTCCACCTAGGTATGAGCATGTAGGAAATAAGGTTTGCAAAGGGATTAAGAGTTTAGGAAGACTTTGCCCTTCAAGTTTTATGTGCGAACATAATTCATTTCATGGGAACTTTAGTTGGAAGGAAGTAATCATGAGTCAAAATGGAAAAGAAAACTTTCGATCTTGCAAGGACAAAGATGTTGTTAGAGTAGTAATAGAGAAATAGTGAGAATATTATGAAAAATATCAAATATTAGCCCAAAAATGTGCGATAGTTAGAAAACAACCAGACTAGATATCAAATGTAAAGGCAAGGTCTCTCCAAAGGGATAATGGCTAGGCAAAATATCTTTCAATATGAGAGAAAGATGAGGCAAATGCGGGTTTTCTAAAAGAGCTTGAAAGAAAATTTCTAGTGAATTTATTTCAATTGGTGTAACCTGAGGAGTCCAAAGTACCATCTCGACCAAATCCTTTCACTAAAAGGGAGAAACAAGTTCTTTAAAACCGTGCTCTTTGGAGTTTATAGAGAGAAAGGATAAAAGGTTTTTTTAGTTGTAAAGAAAATTTCTTATTCTTGGCCTCATGTACCTTTTGGATGCAATTTTTTTGTAACTATTGATAAAATAGTACTATATTTTCTTAAAACTTTAAAGAATTGATACAAGGTATAAATAACAGCTTACAAAGAAGAAAATAGAATGAAACCCTTACCTATAAGGATAAGTAAACACTTACCTATTAGAACAAGGAAACCCTAACCTAAATAGGAAATTAAAAGATAACAAATATAATTTAACACTTCCCCTCAAGCTGGTGAATGAATATTCTCCATTCCCAGCTTGTTAACTGTTAGAGTATATATTAGTATATTTAATATTATTGTATTAATATTAATTTGTTCTTTTACCTTCTCATTATAGGATTAGGTCAACCTTGTCTATTTGTCTATATATATAGACTTTAATAATGAGAATACGTTACATTGGATTCTCTCCAACCTTAGTCTCTACATGGTATCAGAGCTCTAGGTTTCTTCTAAAATTTTTGTGCCCATTAGGGTTTTGATGCCCATTAGGGTTTTGTGCCCATTAGGGTTTTGTCCCTTAGGGTTTTGTTTATTGCTATCCAACACTACGACCGCCGCTGCCGCCGACCATCGCCGACCACCACACCGACCACCGCCGCCGCCGCCGTTGTTGTTTTCCAATTGCTATTCGTTGGTTTCGTCTCATCGTCCTTCGCACCTTCATCGCCGCCAGTCGCTGTGTGCTTCCGTCACCGCCAATCGCCTTCGCCCCTCTGGTTGTTGTGGGGTAGCACTTAGGGTTTCTGGTTTCAGAAAACACCTGATCCGATTCAAGCGGTCCAGTTCAACCGGTTTGGTTTCAAGTGGTTTGGTTCATCCAGTTCAAGTTTGGTTCGGTCTGGTTCTTCACATTCCGGTTCGGTTTGATTGATTTATACCGGTTTTGGTTCGGTTCGTTTGTTTCAATTCAATTGGTTTGGTTCACTTGGTTCTGTTCAATTAGTTTGGTTCGATTCCATTTTCTCCTTTAGACTTGGTTTGGTCTGGTTCTGTCGTTTTGTTCAAATAAGTTCGTTTGTTTGTTATGGCTGAGAAGAAATCAATCGTAACTTTTGAGGTGATCCCAATGATATCAAAAATCACAGAACACAAGTTGAATAGATTGTTTGTCTAACAAATTGGTCATGATTAATATATATGCACCAACTTAAGGGGGAGTGTTAGAGTATATATTAGTATATTTTATATTCTTGTATTAATATTAATTTGTTCTTTACCTTCTCCTTATAGGATTAGGTCAACTTTTTATATTTTTCTATATATATAGACTTTAATAATGAGAATACATTACATTGGATTCTCTCCAACCTTAGTCTATACATTAACCAAATGCTCAAAGTTGTTGTTGTTCAATCCTTTTGTAAGGATATCGACTATTTGATTATTTGTTGGCACAAATGCAGTACATATGAGGCCGCTGTCTAACTTCTCTTTTATGAAGTGTCTATCAATCTCAACATGCTTGGTTCTATCATGTTGAACTAGATTGTGTGCAATACTGATGGCTGACTTGTTATTGTTGACGCTAAGGTTTGAGAGAACCATGTAAAACTATTCTCATTACTGAAGTCTATATATATAGACAAATATACAAGGTTGACCTAATCCTATAAGGAGAAGGTAACAGACTAATATACTACAATATATAAAATATACTAATATATATACTCTAACACTCCCCCTCAAGTTGGTGCATATATGTTAATCATGCCCAACTTGTTAGAGAGACAATCTATCTGTGCTACATTCAATGCTTTAGTGACGATATCTCCTAACTGATCTCCAGTCTTCACATATCCTGTAGCCACCAATCATTGCTGTATTTTCTCACGTACATAATGACAATCAACTTCAATGTGTTTGATTCGTTCATGAAATACTGGATTAGATGCAATATGGAGAGCTGCTTGATTATCACACAAAAGTTTCATCGGAGTGGTGATGCCAAATCCCAATTCAGTCAGAAGCTGATATATCCATACTAATTCACACACTAACTGTGTCATAGCTCTATATTCTATTCAGCAGTCGAACGCGACACCACATTTTGTTTCTTACTATTCCAAGAAACTAAATTACTTCCGACAAATACACAATATCCTGAGGTTGATCTTCTATCTTCCTTAGAACCTGCCCAATCAGCATCTGAAAAACATTCAATATTAAGATGACCATGATCTTTATATAACAAACCACGTCCAGGAAAACCTTTCAAATAACATAGAATATGTTCCAATGCGGCCAATGGTCAGTTCTACGAGAACTCATAAACTGACTTGTTAGAAATTACCTTAAGTGGTTTACCATTATACATTAGGTGTAAAGTCCTAATTATTTGTATTCTTTCCCTTAATCTTAGGAGGTAGTCAACT